CAAGATGGGTTTCTATAAATATGTTAGAAGATGGGCACTTCTTTTCATTTAATCATTATGGCAGGTTGCTCTTGTCCTACAGCAGCTGTGTTGACCAGTGGCACACCAGCCAGGGCACACCACTCCGTAGGCCTGACATCCATCTCCACCGTGTGCTTTCACATAAAGTTTGCTGATTCAGGTGCTAGACAAATACAGTAAGTCTTGACACATGACAAAGAATTGGTGTGTAGATCACTTTTTCTAACAACAATTTAAAGGAACAGCTTTGGAAAGTATATTTGGAAATACAAAAATAGGATTCTAAATAACTCAGCAATTTAGCATAGTCAAATGGGATACATGATGAATTGAATGTGTTCACCAAAAATCATATGTTGGAGCCCCAAGCCACTGTGAGATGGTATTTGGAGATGGACCCATGAAAGATAATTATGGTGGAATGAGACCATAAGAGTTGGATGAGATTAACATCCTTGTAAGAAGTCATCCCAAAAAGCTTGCTCACACCCGTTCCACTTGTCATGTGAGGACACAGGCAAAAGACAACAGCAAGCAAGCAGGCAAACCTTCTCTACAAACTCAACTATGCTGGCACCCTGAACTCAGAGGTCTCCAAAACCACAGAGGAATACATGGATTGAACTCATCCAGTCTATGGTATTTTTGGTATGCCAAAAATTAGAAAATCAATAAACTAAACATAAACACCATCAGTTTGGGTAAAGGAGATTAAGGATATGATAAAAATTTCAATGAAACAGAGCTTAATTTTTGAAACAAAAAGCCCTGTAGGAATAAACAGCAAATGCAAACAATAAAATATAGGGAAAAATAAGGAGACATGGCTAGATATAATGATCAACTCTGCATGTAAGTGATGATTCAAGTCCTGCCTATTCTCTGCTGCTCCAATTCCTTACTAATGAACCTGGGAAAGAAGCAGATGATAGCCCAAGTACTTGGTCCCCTGCCACCTACCTAGGAGACACAGATGGAATTCCAGACTCCTGGCTTCAACCTGGTGCAGCCCCAACTATTGCTGCTTATTGAGTAGTGAACTAGTGGATAGAAGATTTTGTCTTTCTGTGGGTGTGTGTGTATGTGTGTAACTCTGTGTGTGTATGTGTGTGTGTGTCTCCCTATAACTATGCCTTTTACATAGAAAAATAAATTTAAATTAAAATCTGAAAAATTATACATCCAGTGTGATAGCCTAGTGGTTAAATCTTTGCCTTGCTTCCGCCAGGATCCCATATGGGTTCTAGTTCATGTCCCAGTTGCTCCTCTTCCCATCCAGCTCCCTGGTTGGGGCCTGGGAGAGCAGTAAAGGATGGCCCAAAGCCTTGGGGCTCTACAACCTTATGGGAGACCCAGAAAAAACTCCTGGTTCCTGACTCCTGGCTTTAGATCAGGTCACCTCTAGTCATTGTGGCAACTTGGGGAATGAACCAGCAGATGGAAGATCTTTTTGTCTGTCTCTCCTTCTTTCTGTAAATTTGCCTTTCCAGTAATAAATAAATAAATATAAATAAATAAAGCTTTCTCAGACTTAAAAAAAAGTATATAAAAGCCAATAATGGTCTAAAATAAATAATTACCAGGATCAGAAAAAAAATGTTAAACACTGTCTTTAAAAAAATCCTGAACCCTGAATTCTTGCATTCCTTGGAATCTACTATCAAAACAGTCTATATTTGAACAAACCTACTGAAAATAAATAATACATTTTAAAAGGTATATGATTTACACAACAAAAAGTCTTGAGAAATATTTCACATATTTTATTACTTAAATGCTCTAAATTTGAACTACTTCCTGTTCCGGAAAAATTATTTATATATATATATATATATATATATATATATATTTGCAATCTGATTTTGGTCCTACTATTTCTTCTTTCAGATCTATCAAATTTTGCTTCACTTATTTTAAGCTGTGTTTTTTTGTTGCCTAAAAATTTGAATTTTTGTATCGTTTTGAGAGAGTAGCCCTTTTTTATCATTATTTCATTCAGTCTATGCTATCAATTTAATATAGCCATTCTTGCTTTCCTTACCAGTAATTACATATTATGTCTTTCTCTATTCTTTATTTTACTTGCTATATTAAGTATACATGTTCAGATTATTTATACAGCATATAAAGATCATGTTGTTAACCTGTCAATTCTGTTTTTAAATTGGTGTATCTATATACACTAATTTTTATTTGGATTTACATTTATGTAATTTATATTTATTTATATTTAATGTAATTGTTTATTATGGCATAAATCTGTCATTTGATTTTCTCTCTTCTCTTTATTCACTGTTTTTATCTTCTTTTTCCTATATTCCTGTGGGTTACTCAAACACTTTCTAAAACCCCACTTTGATTTATATCAGTATTTTTTTTTAGTGTATTTCTTCCATAGCTCTTTTGGACAGTGGTTAAAATCTCTAATGTAGGTGTCATCTGATGACATTAGTGAAAGTCCCATCTCTCCCATCTCACTACTAGTCCATATCTGATACCTCGTTCCTGCCAGGAGAGTGTGAAAGCCTTGGCTCCTCCACGTGGTCTCTACTGAGGGGATGGTGACAGTGGAAGTGATAGTTATCCCCTGCTAGAGGTGAGAGTCCCGGATTCCTATTTGGTCATCTCTGACACCATTCTTCTGAGAAGCGCCTGATAAGGGCGGAAGTCTGAACTACCATTCTATCTGTGATGTTTGAGATGGGGCCTAGTTTTTCAATGGTGTTTTACTGGAGTCAGGTGGTTAATGTCAAAAAGTTTTCAGTCTTTCTAGACTGCTTGTTTCCTGGCTTTTCGCTCTTTCTAAAGACTTTTTGGCCTTTTTTTGACCTATTCCTTTTGGTGTTTTCAGGTAGCCGGCTTCTTTAGCGCCAAGCCTTAGATAACCAAGGCAAAAAGATAACCGAAGAGGTTCCCTACTGTGGTCCATAGTTGCAAGCTGATCTGTACATCTTTAGAGAGCCTCTTTAACCCTCTTCCTCTCCCTAAGATATTTAATGGTACATAATCAAAGGAATAGGGAATAGTTTAACCAGTATAGCTATCTTTCTGAAGGCGCAAATTCTGTAAGTAATGTTAATGACAACTTAATTGCTTATTTTTAAAGCCCTGTCATTTTTCCCTACCCCATTGAATATCCCTTTGCCATGCTACACAATTATAAGAGTGATTTTTAGCCAAGGTTCTCGTGAGAAGCAGAACCAAAGGAGATACACAGAGAAAGGATTACAGGGATTATGGAGGTAGTAAGTCTCAAGATCTTCAAGTGAGTCCAGAAGTTGGAAACCCAGAACTCATGGCTGACAGGTTCAAGAGCCAGGAACAGCCCATGTTGCCATTCAAACCTAAAGTCAGAAATAAGTCTCTCTTTTTCAGGGAAGTGTCAGCCTTGTTATTTTTTAAGATTTATTTTTATTTTAAAGGCACATTTTATAGACAGAGAAATAGAGAGATATCGTCTTCCATTTGCTGATTCACTCCACAAATGGCTAAAATGGCGGGAGCTGAGCTAATCCGAAGCAAAAAGCCAGGAGCTAGGAGCTGCTTTTGAGTTTCCCAAGCAGATGCAGAATCCCAAGAACTTGAGTCATTGTGCATTGCTTTCTCAGGCCAACAAAACAGCCTGGAAAGGAAGTGAAGCAGTCGGGACACAAAGCCATTGCCCATATGGGATCCTAGTGCTTGCAAGGCAAGGATTTAACCTGTTGAGCCACTATGCTGGCCCTAGGGTCGGCTTTTTTATTGAATTGAATGAATTGGCTCACCCAACTATGGTGCATGATCTGCTTTATTCGGTATGGCTGTCTAAATGGTAATCTTTCCAAAAGCACTTCCCAGAAGTACCTAGAATAATGTTTGACCAAACCTCTGGATATTCTGAGGCTCAGTCAAGCTGACATATAAAACTTACTATCACAGATTGTAGAGTTTTTAAAGTTCTACTCTGCCAGGCTAGTTAATTAGAACCTTAATGTGAATTCTAACCAAGTTTGCTTACAAATTTCCATTTGGGGCTCACTTCGAAATATATAGGGAAACTTGAAAAGAATGAATAATGGCTTTTGAAGATAAAAAGTTTTTGTTTATTTGTTTAAAGCAGGGGTATAGAACCTTTTCTGTCAAGAGTCATTTGGCTGTTTATAACATCATTCACGGGCCCTATAAAAATTACCATCTTAAAAGTTAGCCTGCTATAAATCTGTTGAATTTCCAGTCGTACCTGTGACGGCCTTGGCAGAGCCAGACCAAATGATTTTGTGGCCTTATGCAGCCCACAGCTGAGACACTCCCACTCGGGTATAATGGAAGAAACTACTAAAGCCTGCAGAACAGGAAACTTAACAGCTGTCCTATTTCTTCGTAGAGCTTTATAAACAGGAAGACTGTTACAACTTTTATTTTCCCTAATTCTTATAGTAAATGTGTCTTTTTCACTGTGGCAAAATAAAAAGATTTTCAAAATGGGAATTCATCATAACCTGTAATCGTTTGTCACAGTCTCCTAACATAGCCCCTAGAGCTAAGTAGCTGCACGTTCAGGATGGGATGACTGGATACAGGTATCACTTACTGGAGAAGATTCTGGACTCAAATAGTCCTCAGTTCCCAGAGGGTGTGACCTGGGGAAAATCATATTACTTCTCTACATAAACAGCAGTTTTCTTGTCTATAAATGAGGAACTGCTTGTTAAATTAGTCATTATATTGTAAGAATTAAATATAAAAATATAGATGAAGCCCACTGTTAAGCAAGTACTGACTACTCAATAATGCTAATCATGGTCACTTATTATAATCATAAAATGGCTTCTTGTCATTATCAACACTTAAAAACATTTTTTAAACACTTCAAACAGTCCTTATTAAGTTCCAAAATTAAACTTTTTTTAATGCACATCTGGGTAAACAAGACTGCCATTCTAGTGCACTAACAATGAGTAAAAGAATTTCTTTTCTAATTTTCACTTTGTTTTTCCTAGATGCATCAGATGTTGAAGCAGGTGGAGATACAGAAGTGATGCAGCAGGAGACAGCTCCAGTCCCTGCCCAGTCAAAGAAAACCAAACAGGTACCATCACTATGGGACAGTTAACCTGTTAGATTCTGAAACCAGCCTCCTCCACCCCTTTCCAGCATTTCCTTTGCCCTAATATCAGCTGTCGGTGGGATTTGAAGGAAGCACCTACCTTCCTTGCCATTGACAGTGACGGCTGTTCTTGGTTGTAAACAAGCACTGTCTACTTTTCTCCCTTTTTTTTTTTAAATAATCACATGACTTTATAACAATGTTAGATTTTCACATAACATTTGTATTAAATATTGAGTTCAGTTCTTAAGGAGACAAATAGCAGAAAGATAGGGAGGGTGACTTCCACCCAAGTGCAAGATTACAATGCCATTCATGCTGCCAGCAGACCCCTCAGGTCTAACGCAGCACCTTGAACTATCATGTTCATTCTTACCAAGGATTTACTTCCTTTGTATTGCCCTAAGTGGCCGTTTGGATGAGCTTTGCTTACTGGACCTATGACTTCCTATTACCTTTTGAATCTTCTCACTGGCCTTTGAAATGCCAGTCACATCTTTTTATTGCCTTCTCCCATTAGGGATCCACCAGATTTAATTGCAAACTTTCTGTGTGATGTTTAAAGAACACATAGTGTCAATCCAGAGTTACCATCTTCGTGGTATTGATTAGTATTCCCATAGTATATAAATACTCTCAATCCACTCCACTAGAAGGTGACCATTACCAAAATTAGGACCATGTTTAGATTAACTGTTGAAAGCAGTTTAGCATAGTAATTCATTACAAGTGATGTGGCCTTGGGCAATTTAAATTCCTCCATTCCTTCAGCTCCTTATTGGTAAAATGGTGGTAACAATTATATCTTCCGCAGAGAGTTGCAATGAGAATTAACTGATTTAATATCTCTTAAGTACTTCAGGCTGGTTAGCAAAAGTTAAATCATTGATGTGTTGATTATTCAACTCATTTAATGGTTAATTATGTTTTTATTGTGGTTAAAAAAAGAACATAGAAAAGTACATGTATTTAATAACCTGTCATCTTGGCTTTCTCTCTTTCCACTAAATATTTTGTTCAAAGGCACCATACTAGTTTTTGTTTAACGATCCCTTCATCGACCAACAATTTAAATATACCTTGGTTTTCAATTTATTTCCTTGAGGTGGAGTTCTCCATTCCCTTCTGGCCAGTAGAGTTTTCTGTGAGAGGTCTCCTGTGAGTTTAATTGGCATTCCTTCATATGTCAGTTGATTTTTTTCACATGCACATTTAGGGATCTGTTCCTTATGTTCAATTGAAGAGACCCTGATTATCATGTGTCTTGGTAAAGATCAATTTTGGTCAACCCTGTTGGGAATCCTGTGCCCCTCCTGGATCTTGTTTCCCAATTGAGTCATGACTACCAGGGCTGTGAGTGAACACGCTCTGAGGAAGCTCTTGCCTCCACTTCCATTTTCACCTTGGATTGGCCATTGGATTAGTACATTGGATGTTCTTTATTGATCACAGGAATTGCCAAACATAAATAAATAAATAAATACAAGAGCTTAAGAGTTTGCTGTCCATTTTAATAACCTTCCTCTTGCGGTTACTTCCTTCACTACCAATGCCATCAAATACTCCACATCTTAGGGAGACATAATGCTCTCTCCAATTCTGTTATCATTTCTCTGGCCAGAGAATTTTCCTTGTTTCTGAATTTACCCAGATCTCTGTGCCTCAACTGAGTACTGTTTATCCGGGTCTCTGATCTTACATACCAGGCTGTACCACTTCAAGGACAGAGTTTTATCAGTGTATCTCCACAGCACCTGACATGAATCTTGTAAAAATTGGCATTTGTTATTCATGAAATGAATCAATGAAGGACTGTATCCGTATCTCAGTTTTCCCCTACTCTTTAGTCTTTTGTGTCCCACTTTGCAAGCCAGTAAATCCCTGACATTGATGCCTTCTGAATCTTTTTTGTTTTTTGAGATTTATTTTTTTGAAAGTCAAGCAATAGAGAGAAGTTCTGTCGGTTCACTCCCCAAATTTCCACAAACAGACATTTTGGGCAGGCCCAAGAAGAAGCCAGGAACTCCATTTGAGTCTCCCTTTTGGGTGTCAGGAACCCAGCCACTTAAGCCATCACCTGCTGCCTTCCTGATGCAGTAGGAAGAAGCTGGATTGGAAGCTGAGTACCTGGAACTTGAACCAGGTACTGTGATATGAAATGCAGGGGTCTAAAGAGTGCTTTTTCTACTTGAATGCTATTTCCATTTCTTTATTTGGACCGATCCTTTCCTATTCCTTTCATATTTTCTCTCCAAGATCATTCTTTACTGTTGTTAAAACAGGACTATGTCCTATCTACTCTCCACCTCACCTTCTTCCTTTCCATGATAGTTCTGCTTCTATCCTTGGTACTAATTTATTGTTGTATGACAAATTGCTCAAAGGTTAGTAGCTTTAAAATAAAAAATTCATTATCTCGTGACTTTTCTATTTCACAGATGTAGTGTAGATACATCTGACTCCACGTCTTTCATCAGGGTACCAGTCAAGCTTTCAGCTGAGGTTAGAAGTCTCAACGGGGAGTCACCTTGAAGCTCAGTTGGGTATTTGTTGGAAGACCTCAGTCTCTTCCTGTGTGATCCTCTCCTCAGGGTGGCTTCATAGCATCACAGCTGATCTCCCTCAGACCAACTGACCCAAAAGAGAGCAGGCAAGAGTACTCAGCACAGAAAGCACAGTCGTCTAGTGCCTGATCTCAGTGTTGATGTCTCATCGCTCCTGTCATGCGGCCTGTTGAGAGAGACAATCCAGTCTGCATTCAGAGGTTGGGGCCAGAGGGACATGGATATGATGAGACAGAGCTCATTGGCAATTGTCTTGGAATCACTACCACCTGTGCCCTCTGGCCCCAAGTGATTCACATTTTCTGATATTAGAAGGTATCCCTTCAGAAGCTAGCAAAAGTCTCATTCTATTATAGTATGAACTCATCATCTAAATTAAATCCAAAATTGAGGTTCCTTAACTATAGATCTTTGAGTACAGTTCGTCTCAACTTAAAAAAATAAACAGACAAGTTTTCTTTCCAACATAACCAGCATACAGTGGGGGGTGGAGCAGGAAGACACTGACCTAATAACTTCTGGTAACACATGAATTCAAACGGGTGGGAAGATAGCAGATATCAGGATTACATTGGTACACACCCTTCTGAAGTCCATTAGGGCAAATGTTAGAAATTTCTCCATAATGTCTGAATATACAGGAATAATTCTCCTGGTTCTTGACTATTTCCTTCAGGCTCTTTGTTCTGCAGTCTGAGTCCTCCTTTTTTTTCCCAATGAAAATTAGTATGTGTTTAGAAATCATTATACACATCTGATAGTTTCCATATAATTACAAATAACGGAATTACTAAACTGTCTACTACATAATAATACCCCTTTCTCCCATATCCAGTAAGACCTTCCTCACTTTTTTCAAGCCCTTGTCTTCAGTGCATTTAAAGTCTGAAAATTCTTAAACAATATATTAAGGCACACCAACCATCAATTGCTTTAAGTCTGAAGCATTTAAAAGTAATTTGTAAAATCAGTTTACTCTCCCAAGTACTTCACTGTGCATATCATTAACTAAAATTTAATGTTTTAAAAAATATTTTTTAGATTTTGCTTTGAAGTAAAGTTAATATATAATAAATGCACATATATTAAATATACTGTTCAATGGGTTCTGACAGCTCCATACAAGACTGTAACAAAAGGCTCCACTGGGTTAAACAAAAATACAGCTGTAAGTCACCTTTCCAAACTGCTCACTCCAACAGCAGCAACTATTCTGTTTTTCTCCCCAAATTAATTTCTCCTGTTTTAAAATTTCAAGTACATAAAAGTATATGCATTATTTTGGAAGACAGAAACACACACACACACACACACACACACACACACACACACACACACACACACACACACAGATTTTTTCCCTCCAGTGATTCCCCACATGACCTCAACAGCCAGAACTAGGCAAGGCAAAAGCCAGGAACCTGAAATTCAGTTCTTCTCCAAAAGCAGTATCAGAGACCCCAGTACTTGAGCCATTACCTGCTGCCCGCAAGGACGCACATGATCAGGAAGTTAGAACTGGAAGCAAAACTGGGACACCAAACCAGTCACTGGTGTAGGATGTTAGCATCCCACGTGTTATCTTGAAATTCCACACCAAATATCTACTCCTGGACATTTGTTTTTTAATTTTTCTTGCATAAACACATAACTTGTGCTGAGTTAATTTTATATAGCCACTGTTACACTGTTTTCCAAAAGGATGGTACCATTTTGCACTATCATTTGTGTATGAAAATTTGGGTTACTTTTTATCCTTGTCAAGAGCCATCTATTTTACAGTTTTATATATTTTCTGTATCAAGTAACTTCTAATGAAGTCTAAAAGAAACCAAAAGCCAGTTCTTAACTGTTGTAATTGTTGCAACAAACATGCTTGTTTTCTTATAAATGACATTTTAAATTTAAGTCAGTTTAAATCTTACATATTTAGTAATCTTATATCTTTTTTTAATCAAATACTATCAAGGATTTTTTTAGGATTAGTTTATCTATTTGTTTGAAAAGCAGAATTACAGAGAGATGGAGGAACAGACAGAAGGAGAGCTGTCATCTATCCGCTGTGTCACTCCTCAAATAGTCACAACGGCCAGAGCTGGACCAGTCCAAAGTCAGGAGTCAGGAACTTTGTCCAGGACTCCCACATGGGCACAGAGGTCCGAGCGCTTGGACAATCCTCCACTGCTTTCTCAGGTACATTAGCAAGGAGCTGGATGGGAAGAGGAGAAGCCTGGACTTGAATAGGTGTCAATGAAAAAGTAGCACTCCTCTTCATCACTCTTGGCCTACTTTTTTTCTTTCCTTTTTTTTCCTTAGAGAAAAATCTCAACTTTTCTAGACTTCTTCATTTATTTATTGTCTCACAGTTTACATCACTCTTTTTTGATTTATCAATTTCTTTCATAATCTACTAGCTCC